GGTTGAAAACCCAATGGCACATATTACATGAGTATGTGTATATATCTATTATATATGTCTATATTGTCTTAAAGCAACGCAATGCAAGCAAGCGGCAAACAACTCCCCATAGCCTATGTAAACCAAAGTTAGCCATGTAAACCCCCTCAAATTCGTCCACTTGCACGCGCTTGCTCCCTTGGAGGTATTGGTGCACCTTTCTAAGTGCCCCCCTGCTGGGCCCAGGACATGTTATCAGCTCAGCTTCTGGCATGCGTCAACTTCATTTGAGTGTCTGCTTTTAGAGGACCCCCAAATGGGTTGGTTCCTCAGGCCAGCCATCGTTCGCACCCTCTTTCCAAGAAATCATGGAAGTGGACAGGAAAGACATATTTTGTCTTTCGACACCTTCCGAAGTCAGCTTCCATGATGGTTAAAGAGGTAAGCCTTGGAGAAATAAATGTGTTTGTCTTTTCTCGGGGACTCAGGCTTTCCTTTTGGTTTCCCTTTAAAACAAGACACACCCATTTGGTGCTTCCAATTCTGGGACAACTGGGCAGACCGATCAGATTTGCAGTCTGACTTGCTCCGGGTCACACGCTCCCAGACTTGGCCAAGTCTTAGTTGGGCTCTCGGAGGAGTTGATTTTGTTTGCGTAAATTCATTCTAGCCAAATTTAGGGGTGTCTCCATCAGCACTCGGTCAATCCTTCTTCCCAGAAGTGGTGCTTAAGTTGAGACAGCAGTTTAAGCTCTCAGCAATCTAGAATCTGGTGATCAGCGGAAGGTGTAGTGCCAAGGTGTGATACAGAAATACATGGACTTTAGCAAAGTCTCACACTGATTTGGAGTATGGCAGCAACTCTTGAGCAACAATCCTTCGCGACTCCTACCGAACCTGCGGTCCTGTGCCGATAGGGTAGATGGGGTACAGTAGATGTCCCATTCGCATAAGAACCATCCTGATGAGCCCTTCTGGATTAGTGGGCAATTTGCAAGCGCTACGTGCAGTTGCTGCGCAGCGCGTGGTGCGCACAAGTAATGCCGGGTGAGTTCATTTCCCGGTATTGCTTCTTTCGCGTGGGTGTGTCCCTAAGTGCCCCCCCCCCCCCGCACGGTTGTTGAAGGGAGACCAGCGGGAAACCACCTGTGTTTGAGGGTCGCCAACTTTTGGACGCACCGTATTTGTGCGCAGCTGTTTTCCTGTGTCCGTGGACTCTCCCAGACCTCAATGCGGCAGTCGGCAAATCCAAAGATGCGCTTAGGGATCAGGGAGCAGGTATCCACGATCGCGACTGGGACTGCCCGTTCGAAGTCTTAGAATTTTCTGCTCGGATCAAGTGGCCCCGGTTTGTCCTTGTCAGAAGCAAGGACGGCCACAGCGGATGTTCGGAAAATGAGGCTGCGCACGAATCAGGGAACTGTTTGGCGAGGATGCCAGGCCCTGCCTTTTGCTGCGCTGTCTTTTGGGTGTCTCATCTGACCAGGAAGCCTCAGAAGGTCGCCATCTTCAGCGAATGGCCAAGAACCTGGAAGCTTTGATCGCAATGTGGCGCGGATGGCTCACAAGAGAAAGCTGTGAATCATTGGTGCAAGGAAGATGTGCGTGCCCCAAGTGAAGTATTGCACGGCTTCACTTCCCTATGTAATTTAGAAGCTGTGTGCAGGAACATGTTTGTGTAGTGAGCAGAGACTAGCTGGCTGTTATAGCTTCGCATGCCGACAAATCCAACAGGGGCTAACAAAGTGTCCCAGGCTTTCACACAAGTCCCTAGATGCGAATCTCAGCGTTCTTTGCCGACACTACACCTTGATTGTCAGGTGTCAGTGAGCTTTCCTCAAAGGGCTCATCGAGGCTTCCTGGGGTTGACAGAAGTGGGGGCCTTTTGCTTGGTCTTGTTTCGGCCGTTTTCGGCTTGTGCCTAGGAAAGCCATCATGGGGTCACGACCGTGCAGTTTGTAACATCAACGTGGGCCCAGGGTCCCTCCCTTGACCCCCAGCGCAATGGGAGGTGACCATAGGTGACCTTTTTAGTGGCGAGAGAAATGATGATGACGCCAAGCATTTCTCGAGACATTCCGCAGGCAGGTGAGATGGGGCTGTCCTCCTTCGGAACGCAGCTCTCCTGACTTGCAAATGGTGTGTGTGTGAGCGCGATCCAGACACTGGACGGCTGTTTGTAATCTATGTCTGGCAAATGTGGGGGCTGACTTGGTTGTAGATACACGGTCCATTTCTATGAATGCAGCCTTGCTTCTTGGCCAAGAAAGCTCAAGTGTTTGAGCTATCCCAGCTTTAATGGAAGACCGTCATGCTCGTGAGGCCCTTAAGGCAGACACTCGCGACTCGCGGGGCAATTGGTGGAGCGCGAGCCGGTGTTGCAATGCAATAGTTGCTGGAGCAACATTGGCTACTGCTCGAGCCCGTTACGCCTTCTTCACATGTGGCGCAAGAGTGCTTTCAACGTGCTGCATCAAAGGTTCAGAGCATCCAGCACACTCAGCAACGGCATGTCTTGAGATATGTCTGTCTTCTTTGTGTTCGCGCCCGCAGTAGTATTTGCAGCAGTTTGTAGCCATGCGATGCCTTCACCTGCTCTGGCTACTGTGCCTGGCCTGCGCAGGCGCAGCGGAGGACCTGAATGTGGGGAGAGACGGTGCCTGACTGTTGAGCGAGCTACATGCCTTTCGCTTTGAAGTGGGAGCTTCATGCCAGGACCATGCCCCAGGTCAAAAGGCCCCACCAAGCATGAAACCTTTGAAGGAGGAACATAGCTGTGAGGGACAGCCAGAGGCTTTGCTTGCCCGCCATTTGGCCACGTTTGATTTGCTTAGGATCTTTCTCTGGCTTGTGCCGCTTGTTTTACTGACCATGGCCACAAAAGTTCAACCCCGCCCCCCGAACATCACATTGGAACCCAAGGAGGTTCCTTGAGATTTGGGGCTTCCATGCTCCGCGCAGAGCCATATCCGAGTGGCTTTGCTGCTCGCAGGAGTCCGAGGTGGACAGGGGGTTCTGGCACATCTCGAAGATCTTTTGGGGCTGGATGCTCGGCGTGGTCGATGTGACCCCTGAGGAGCCGGATCTTCGGGAACAAAAACCGCCCGCCGTTTTGGGGAGGCTGGGGGAAGTGGGCGCCTTCTGAAGCTGCAAGCCGTTTCTTTGCCTGAAAGTGCCGAACCCCCGTCTGGCGCGCCATTTGTGCCTGCTATGGCGACCTTGGCAAATTGCAAACCGTCTGAGCGCAAGAGCGGACCAGAAGTTCCTTTCAAAGGCCTGGGCTCCGCAGGTTTTTTGTGAGGACTGAGCCGGTCTAGGGCACCGCTAGGAATTTTCTTACAAAAGGGCACTAGTGGCCAGGGCGTGGGCGTTGACCTTGCCATTTGCGAGCTGGGCCATTTCGATTTTGTTTGATACCCTTTTGGGCTTGGTTGGGTATAAAAGGAAGCCACCAAGTTTGGGGTTACTCTATGTTAAGAGCCCATCTCCTCCCTGGCTGGAGGTCCCAAAGCCATTCTCGGTGAATTCGGGATCCAGTCTTTTCACCCGTTGTCCTTTACGGGTGCTTGGCAATTTCATGAAGCTGGATTGTCGCAAGTTGCCGTAGGCTTCAGTTGGATGAAAGCGGGGCGCCATAGGGCCTGTGTGTTCCACTTAGTTAGGCACATGGTTATAGAACTGCTTCTATTTTACTTAGATGCAACTAGTTATGTAAATGTGTATATATATATATATATATATGTGTGTGTGTTGTATAACATATCAACATTAGACACATATATAATTACAACGCTACACAACTTGATGATCCCACATCGAGGCAAGAAGGCATAGGCATTGCCACGCACTCCAGCGCTTGGGATTCCGTCAGCCAGAGCCTGCAGTTGACTTTGGTTCCCCATTCCCTCCCCACTCCATCCCACTCCCTCCCTCTGGCTGGGCCATGCTGAACCAATGAGTTTGTCAGTTTCTGGGAAGTATGCGAAAGTGGGGGGGGGGGGCGGTCCTTGGCTAACTTTGTTAAAACAATGGGGCTAGTCCAAGTGGCAATTCGGCCAGGAGATGAACAAGGGCCGTGTGCGTCAGCCATTGAAGATCATCGGCGCTGGCTTCGGTCGCACGGGTACCTCATCCATGGCTATGGCCATGGAGCGCTTGGGCTACCGCACCTAGGAACCAAATGGCGGCGGGCAAGGGAAGGTCCGGTTGTTTTCCGCCCGTGTGCCACGGACAGTTGTCGCATCCTATGGTCACAATGTCCCAAATCAAATAAAACCATTCGAATCTTAAGCCAGTTTAGGTTCCAAGAATGGCAAGTGTCTGGAACAGCGGCAACTGTTGGTTTCCTTCGGCCGAGCCCAGGCTCCAAGTGATGCAATCAAAGACCAGGTCCTGAAGTCCCGAAGTGAAAGAAAAAGGCGACCCGATTGATGGGTATGTTGGAGAAATTGAAGGGGTGTCCCCCTTCAAAGTCAAACGACGCGGAACTGAAACACACCAGAACTGGGTTTGCTAAACTGCAAACTTCGGGCTTTTGCGGGCATGAATCATTTTCAGTGCCAGTTTGGGAGAAGTGTGTTTCATTGCAAAAGGAAACCGGTGGTCAGCCGAGGGTACCCAAGACGGGAGACGGACAGACAGCCGGCAAAAGCAACTTGAGAGGTTCAACACTTCAGCATCCCAAAAGGTGAACCCTGACTGCTTCTTGTCCTTTGCTTTGCGCCAAAAGCTCCAGTGTGCCATGTGTTTGTTTCTTTGTGCAGGTTCCCTTCGATTCAGGCTATCCACTTGAGCTGTTGATGCACCAGCCATGCAGCACTGACTTGAAGCAATGGGTTTTCCAAGAGTTGATAAGGTGACACAGTTAACACTTCGTTGGTGGTCGCCCTGCAAATCCGAGAGTTCATCCCCATGGAAGATGCCGAATCTGCGTTTCCTGCGGCGGTTTGGACGAGCATGTACGCCCAAGGACCGTACCACTGGGTCGAAGGCATGATGACCATGGGCCACATCGGCCTTTGGGCGAACTGGTATAGGGCGGTCCACGCAAATAAGCAGCCGGCCATCGATATTGCCTTCAATAAAGTCTCGGAGGCTATCGCCGATGGAGGCCTCTTGGTGAATATTCACCAAACACGGGGGGAGTACATGGGGCGAGCGTCCTTCCATGGCCTAAATATTGCAGAGCTCAGAGCCTTTGCTGTATTAATTTGGGGTCACCCGCCAGGCACAAATGTTCATTGCCTAGCCGCATGTTGCCTGTGCCACGTGGTGGTTTTGAACGTGTTACATCGAAGAGATGCATGATACGTACAAATAGATTAGCACGTCTATACACTTGTGCACACTCTAGTTATGTGCCACTTACGAAGTTTAATAATCCTTCCAATATGTGCAAGCAGTGTTGAGCGATGGCCGGAACGAGGGCGCCGCACAAAACAGTCTTTTAGTTTGCGTTTTTAGGGGCTTGAGCACGGGATGGTAGCAATGCTGAGGGGTTTCTGACGCAATTGGATGGCACAGGGCACAGGGCGGGCGATGCCAGGAAAGGGTTTCTTGCTGGACCAAACCCTGTTGGCCATTTGGTTCACCGGATTCAGCTTTAGTTCCACTTGGTGCGGCATGTAGCAACAGTTGCCAGGCACGGGTAAGCAGAGCCTGCATTCATGACAGCTTTGTCGCCCAAATGCACGATGGGCACATGAAGGGTATATGAGTTCCCATCTTTCCCCAGGTTTACATGCTTTATCTGGATGCGAGGCTTCAACGTGACCTTGGACTTCCCCGCGTGCCTAGCCTTCGACTCTTTCATGGACAAGTACCCGGATGCAAAGGTGCTGCTGACAGTCCGGTCCTCGGGCGAGTCCTGGGCCAAGTCCGTTCTGCCGCTCGGCGAAAAATCACAAAAATGACCGTACGTGGGTACGTCAGAGGGAACCGCCCAATGTGCTATTTGTCCGTTTGGTGCCCTGTTAAACCGACCTAAAACGCATTCCCTCACAAAAACTCGGAGACAAACAACAACCTTGGCGCATCATTGGGGTGTTTTTTTTCGGTATTTCTTTGTATTGAGACCCTATCCCACATGCCATTGGCGGCGGGTCCTTGGCCCTTTGCGCAAGAACTCACATGGCCATGGGCCAAAAGCCAAATCGTACCCCCAGTGAACATCCCAATCCAACCACTACAATAGATTAAAATGGGTGCTGAATTCACCTACCCCAGAATGGTTCCAAAACGGTTTTGACCCGCAGCTTCCGGCCCGTCGCCCATTGGTGAGAGCCGCCCTTCCCAAGGCGTGCCTTCGCAATGTTCTAGCCAACCAAAATTCATGAAATTGTTCAACGCATTTGCGTTTTTTGCTCGTCAACTTCGAGGGGTGCAATTCATGTGGAAATGTGCCGTTGAAATGCATACCACTTTGAACAGAATCTGTACTTATGGTGATATTGTTTCGAAGCTCCCGACTCTCCCGCGGCCGGACAACGGTTCTGAGGAAAGTCATGCTCACTTATTTTGAGGGCACATGCACAAGGAATCAAGGGTCGTTTATCAGTACTTGATCACCATGGGGGCGGTTGTATACCATCCGGCCTTAAAATTAAAGGACTCCAACAAATCATGATCCCAAGAAGCCATAGCGCTTGACGGGTCCCAGCTTCCACCAGCGTCTCCGCCTTTAAGGAAAGCCGCATTTTCCATTTGAGAATCGGCGCTTTTTCACAACTTGACCCTTTCTTGGTACAGCTTGAACTTTTGAAGGCTTGGGAAATGCGAAGTGGTTTATTGCTGATCCACGTGCAGTTGGATGACGTCTGGCGACTTAAACTATTAGAGTCTGGCTTGCAATGGGTTTAGATTGCAACGATTGCAGCCGGCGTTGCTCAGGGCCGGCGTGATTGACATGACCTGGTCAGCCCAAGGGCGGCTATTCGATCTGACGCCGCGGCTGAACGACATGAGGCACCCCCCTCGTGCGCGCGCGCGCGCGCGCGCGTGTGTGTGTGTGTGTGTGTGTGTGTGTGTGTGTGTGTGTGTGTGTTTGTGTTTGTGTTTGTGTTTGTGTTTGTGTTTGTGTTTGTGTTTGTGTTTGTGTTTGTGTGTGTGTGTTTGTGTTTGTGTTTGTGTCTGTGTCTGTGTCTGTGTCTGTGTCTGTGTCTGTGTCTGTGTCTGTGTCTGTGTCTGTGTCTTTGTGTGTTTGTGTGTTTGTGTGTTTGTGTGTTTGTGTGTTTGTGTGTTTGTGTGTTTGTGTGTTTGTGTGTTTGTGTGTTTGTGTGTTTGTGTGTTTGTGTGTTTGTGTGTTTGTGTGTTTTGGTGTTTGTGTGTTTGTGTGTTTGTGTGTTTGTGTGTTTGTGTGTTTGTGTGTTTGTGTGTTTGTGTGTTTGTGTGTTTGTGTGTTTGTGTGTTTGTGTGTTTGTGTGTTTGTGTGTTTGTGTGTTTGTGTGTTTGTGTGTTTGTGTGTTTGTGTGTTTGTGTGTTTGTGTGTTTGTGTGTTTGTGTGTTTGTGTGTTTGTGTGTTTGTGTGTTTGTGTGTTTGTGTGTTTGTGTGTTTGTGTGTTTGTGTGTTTGTGTGTTTGTGTGTTTGTGTGTTTGTGTGTTTGTGTGTTTGTGTGTTTGTGTGTTTGTGTGTTTGTGTGTTTGTGTGTTTGTGTGTTTTGTGTGTGTGTGTGTGTTTGTGTGTGTTTGTGTGTGTGTGTGTGTTTGTGTGTTTGTGTGTGTTGTGTGTGTGTGTGTGTTTGTGTGTGTTGTGTGTTTGTGTGTGTTTTGTGTGTGTTGTGTGTTTGTGTGTGTTTTGTGTGTGTTGTGTGTGTGTGTGTGTGTGTGTGTGTTTGTGTATTTTGTGTGTTTGTGTGTTTGTGTGTTTGTGTGTTTGTGTGTTTATGTGTGTTTGTGTGTTTGTGTTTGTGTGTGTGTGTCTGTGTTTTTTGTGGGTGCCCATGGTGCAGCCAAGCATGGCATTGGGGGCACTGTTTCAAACAAGCCGCTGGATTGGTGCTACGTTTTACAGAAGAGAAGCACCTTCTTCCACAGTCGCGTCGAACAAGCTAACAAAAACATGCCAGCCTAGTATTGCCAAGTTGTCCATTGTTCTGCACTGATCAGACGAATTCGCTCGGAATGAGTGAGCGTTGGCATATGTTGCGATGGGTGTTACTTGTCACACGGTTCGCCAGGGGCCAACGCTTTGCTGCTTGAGATGGATGTGTTTTTGTTTGAGGATCCTTTGTGGGTGTTCTTTTTGGGGTTCTGAAAGAAACCAAAAGGACAACTGCGCATTTCATGCCAGGCGCATCCGTTTGTTTTAGCCATGCCAGGCTGGTGGTCATGGGGGGTTGGCCACTGATCGGCCAAAACTTCAGCACCGCCAGCGAGCTGCCCAACGAGACGTTGTTGGCAAGCGTCTATGAAAACTGGATCGTGAAGGTGGAAGTCTCAGCTGATCCCGGCTTTCAGCTCCCATTGGTTAGCCCGACTGGGAGCTTGTTCCCCGAACCTTCCGGTGGTTCTGTCACCAGAATTGTGAGGACGTGAGCAGAGTTCGACGAAAGCGTACCGGAATTCTGCAACATCATTGGAGTGTCAGAGGCTTCTCTGAGGTTTCCCCCTGATGTTCCCAAACTCGAGGTAAAGAAGACCGTGCCCCCGGAGAAGTTGCTCATCCACGAGGTGGCAATGAGATCGGGCTCCGCTGACCACTGAATCCATTTGGAACTGCTTACTTAAATGCTCTTTGCCCTTTAGCTTTCGCTGTTTGGCAAAGTTCGCGGTTTTCACACCACCTGGACCTTACATAAAATTTCCATTGATACCAGTTTTGTTGGCTCGCGTTTTTCTGCTTGAACACGCAGTTTGCGCCAGATTCTTCTATTTCTACCCGAGCAATGAACAGGTGTCCGGTGAGCACTTTTTAAACTTGCCCTGGTTTGCTGGTTTTTGCGCTCGTTTTGCACTCGTTTTGCAGGCCGTTCCGGGGCGTCTTTGCACACAATCTCTGCACGAGTCGGTCATGTTAGGACAGCTTGATGTCCCCAAAAGAGGTCAAACCAGGTAAAGCAGGTACTAACTCCAAAACCAGCCGATTGACAGGGGAGGTAGAAATTTCAGGTACGTTGGAAGGTCCTGGCATACTAGCACACACATTGTTTTACGTATTTGCGAGGGAGCCTTGACCGATGCATGCTTTTAGGGTTTCCTGTTTCATGTTTGTTTGCGAAGAAAGTTGCTTTTCACATCCGGTGCTGACACTCGTTCCTTGGCAAGACGTGGCACTTCTTTCCGTTTGACTTTTGATGGCAAATTGACCAAAGAGCTGTCGTTTTTCGCCGCTTGAATGGGAGCCCTCCATTGGGAATCTCTCGAGTGCTTCGTGTTAGGTGCCGTTACCTAGACAGAGTCCTAAATCGGAAACACTAATTTAGTTGATCCACCCTTACACCCATTGAGAGGTTGATCTAAATGCTCATCCACTTTTTTCTTGGGTCCTTTACGGAACCCCCCCCTCCCCCCAGCTACGTCAGGCGAAGGATGGCTATGGCCCGCTCTGCAAGTTCATGGAGATACCGGAGGCTTCAACCGCGCTCCCAAACGAGCCCGGGTGTGCCGTTTTTTGAGACAACCCCCAAATGACTTCTGGTGTTCCTGCGTGCCCTCCGAATTCAGGCGCACAGAGGGCCGCTCCCCTTTGTTGCACTTTTTGGGATGACTCGATTTTATGGCTTGTTTGAACAACGTCCATGAGTCTTATCTCTTTCATTACACTCCTGCAGATGAGACGCTCCCACAGCTGTGTGCAACATGGTCAGGAGGGTGTCCTTCAGCGTACTTCTATACTTGTATCGTGTTGTGATGTTATGGCCGCAAAATCCGTTTCGGCTTACATACTTGTAGCGTGTTCTATTTTGATCCCTGGAGGCGGAATGCCCCAAGGAGCCGTACCCTCACCTCAACGCCAGCAAGGATCAGTGGATACATCGAATAATCACCTACATCTTTATGCGCCGCGGCTGTGAAGTCGCTCCAAGCTCCCAGCGAGGACTTCCCAGCACAGATTAGATGGAGGTGATGTTTGATCCGGGACCCTGTGGACCACAGAATTCGATGGGATTGATGTCCACCAACCACTTCTGAGGTGGTCCCCTGTCAAAGCTCATAGCCACATGGTGATTTACTGTACTTGCCCGGCACCAGAATTCACAGCCATAGGACGTTCAGGACATCCATCGCTTCAATTCCCTTCTGGCTGTTTCGTCCGAGAGAGGGTTGGTTTGGAGGTGGGCACTTGTGTTGGTGCGCCCAAAATTGGCGCCAAAAAAGAACTGAGGTGGTCTTGGTTTCCAGTCTCGGTCACGCTGGTGCTCAGCCCTTTCTTCTGCTGCTGGCGCTGTTTTTGCAAAAGCGGCAAGAGCAAAACCGCCTAAGCGGATCAGCCTCAAGCCGCTCAAAACCCTTGTTGTGAGTGCTGGTTGTTTCGGGGCCCAGCACAGATGTCGCAGTTCAGCCATGCGGCTCGGCCGATTCGCTTGGGCACGGCGTAGTTGGATGAGACGAGTGGGACATAAGATCTCGCAAGCTGGGTCGGTAGTGACTGGCTTCGTTTTGGCACCAGTTGGATGTATAGGAGGTAATGAAGCCCGCGCCTCGCATTGTAGAGAGAGGCTCAGTTGGACGTCAGCTATACAGATTGCTTATTGAAGCTTTCGACGAGATCCTCGAAAAAGAGAGGGGCAAGCCTGCTTGGCATGCGTGAAAGCCCTGGCTGTCAGAGTAGGACTGGCGCAGTGGCTTTTCAGTATTTTGAATTAAGGCCCAGGGATAGGACGACTATGTTGATCCGCGAGGTAAGACCCGGACGGTCATGGTCAGCTGGGGGTTTGCGAGCATGAGCCGAATCGAGACGAATTTGGAGTACTTGCAACTAAACAGCGCTGTTTGAGGTGAAAGCTGTGTTTACATGATGTGGATGGGTTCTGGTCGTCATGAGGGGCGTTAGACAGGTTGTCCGAACTCTTCTGAGAACCCGTCTTAACTAAGAAGGTTCTAAAAGATATGGGGGATGGGGCCTTAGGTTGACGCTAGGTAATTGGGCCAGCTGTGGACATAGGTAATTGTGACAGGTGTGGAGACAGTGCGTCGACCAACGCGAACACGCCCGTGAATGTGAAACAACTTTCCCCATAGTCTGGCTGACAAGGGCCAAATACTCAGTGGAAAGCCCGTGATGTTGAGTACGCCCCCAGAATTCGTGCAATTATTCTGATGGTAAGGCATCTTATCTTGGACCACCTGCAATTCACTCCTTGCGCCGGTTTGTTTTGAGCACTGGGCGAAGAGTCGCTTGTTTGATCATAAGGGTGGGTCTTTTATGAGGGTACTCTTCTCTGGGCCTCAAAATGGAAGCCAAAGGAAAACCCCCAATTGCGTTGTGCTTGGAGACACTCATATTCATGCTCCCTGCGTGCTTTGAAACAAAGCCACTGCGTGCCAAGGATCTCATGTGCGCCACCATCCGGGACATGCAGACGGGTGGCTCGGACCTGCTGATGTTGCTAGGCGCGGGAGGGGTGAATGAGGTGGTCGGACAGGTGTTGAGTTCTGCACTGTGGGCTCCTTTTGGACCTCATGGCTGAGCACCCAAGAGAGGGTTTCTTCCATCAAATGTCCTGAGCCTAAAAAGACCAGGAAAAAAACCTAAACAGTTGCGTTCTTGGTCCAAAGGCGGAACATATATAGAGTAGGCAATATTGACATTTATTCTGCCGTTGGTTTTCCAGCTGTTGCTGACACACATCTCGACCCTCCATGGGAGATCGCAGAGACTGGTTGTTTTCCTGTGCATTTTTCTGCGGGATTCCCAAGTTCGGGCAATTCAGTTTCTGCCTGCTCGAAGTCCATGCCTGTGTCGGCAGGGCCAATTCTCTGCAATTGTTTGGCGTCGTTTGCTGCGCAGTAGTTGCATGATAACAAGTCGCTCATGGGATGCTATGCGCATGAAAATCGATTTTCTTGTGCGAGCTGGAACCCGTTAATTAGAACCCATTTTGGACTCCTGAAGTATGAGTTTCTGCTTACTGCCGAAAGATATGTTGCTTGACCCCCTTCGTCCAGTCTCGATTTGAAGTTCAGCTGGCAGGATACCATGGTCCTTCACATACTCGTGGGACAATTATGAAGTTTCCAGAGTTGTGGGTCCCACATTTGCCATTGAGTTGGATGATTCCCCTCTGACTAGTAAGGTCCTCCCGATTAATCCGAAGTTAACAGTACAGGTTGCAGATTGAGGGGGGGTGTTGAGTTGCTGTTTGTAGCTGTTTGGCACTCTGTTTGGCTTCGCTCGTTTTTGTCACCTGTTGGGCAACATGCATGCTAGGCTTCGGGGGATTCACGTGAGACCCGGCCCTTTCTTTTGGCCTCTCAGGCAACAGCAGCAGTAGGAAACTCACACCTCAGGTTGTTTTTGGTGGTTTGGATTCGGATTGGTAGTTTGGGGTTTTGAACGCAGAGGGTCGGTGGGAAACCACCCCTTAAACACCAAGAAAATCCACGAAGTGGAGGGAAGGGACTTCCGGTGTGTTTTCCAAACCACCCAAAAGAAATTGACCAGGAGAGGTGGAGGCTGAATTTGGTGAGAATGCGGGCCACTTGCGAGAGCATGAGAATCCGAGCCACAAACTCTGTCCCAAGTTCCGAGTGATGTAAAGTGGAGACCTGTCCATTCCAAGCCACCTCGATACCAGTTCACCAGGTGACAGGCGGGACCGGGTTCGGGCAGGATGTCAGGGCTTAGAAAGGCCAGACCAAAGTTGTGATTGTTTTTTCGTTTACATGACCAGAATGAGGGTGATTGGCGGCATGTTCGAAATAGCTGGTTGGGTGGATTGTTGAAAGCTGCACGTCGTTGACTGTAATTTCGGATCTTTAAATTGGAAGAACTTGTCAGTAAGACGTGTTCAAGCGGTTGCACGCCAACCATCCATGCTTCGCAACCAACTGCGTCAAGAGCCCCTGTAGTCCGGTCCCTTGCATGGCTCATGAAGAGGTGGACCTCCATGTGCGACGTTGCTGCGTTGGGTTCAGTTGTAGCACATCAGAAAACCAAGATGGTTTTTTGCTGACAAGTTGGTTGGTTTGAAGCAGGAAGGAAAGCCATTGATAAGATGCTCAAGAGGTGTGAAGGCAATTTGGCCCAACTCGCCGTCGTCTCGTTCGAGATGTTAATGTCTCTATATGCCTATTCCTTACTGGGTCTCGCGTGGGAAATTGTGAATTCGGGACCTTCTTTCAGCAACAAGAAACAACATGTTTTTTGTTGCTTCTTTTCCCAGCGCTTCCATTCACCGCTATAAGGAAGCCAGTGCTTATGTTCCACCATAGGGAGCCGGGTGCTGCCCTTTGGCTAAGTACGGCGTGGGTGTGCGTCACAGGGGCCTCCCACGACAGAACATGAGAAATAAAACCCAGGAACGCGCCAACCTGCAAGTACTTGCAAGAATCCAGCTGAGAGTTGTCAGATTTGTTGGTCATGCTTGGACCGTTTTTGGAGGCAGCATGTGTCAATGACCTTGCAATCGGATCCATATCTTTGCCACTTGCTAAGAAGTGCGTTGGCAAGTTTGGGCCATGCAGGTCTGCCCATCCTTCAGCTCGCTTGCCCGCTCTGCCGCTTCCGCCTCGTAGAAACATGCCTGGAGAACATGGTGTGCATGCATCGCTGAACCAAGTGCAACTTGTGAAACAAGGGTGCCACCGCATGTTTTGCTGGTCTTAGTTGTTCAAAGCCTGTGAGCAGATCCATTTTTGAGTAAGCAATGCTAATGGCACTGGTATAGATTGATGAGAATTGCTTCCAACCTCAAGAAGGTGGTTTTACCCCGTGAATCACGCTTGCGTCTCTTCACGTCGCCATGCGCTGGGCACTTTCAGCGTTGGCATGTTTGGCATGCCTCGTGAACGCCCAGGACCACAGCTTCGCTCGCTTTGCAATGAGGCGATCGTGCGATACCGGCGGCAAAGCCAGTAGACAACAGGGACTCCCAAAACTGCCATGGCCATGGTTCACTAAAAGCATGAATCGGCTTGAGCACCTGCATGTTGCAAGCCTAGGCATGATTTTCGGGCGGTCTCACTTGCTCCTACCATCCCCGAATAGCAAACGCACTCAAGTGTTGGTCTAGTTTAGTCCACCCCAGTTTGCTTGTTTTTGGAGGGGTCCGGCAGCTCCCCGAAAGGGTGTGAGTTGCCACACCAAATTCTGGCCAAGCCGGAACCATCCGGGCCAGCCGCAGGACGTGAGAAGGGAGTCCTGGTACATTCTGAAAGTATTCCACAGCTACATGATGCACCTTGGATCCACAACTCGGCCAGGGTTTTCTAGATCTTTGGCCTTTAACGAAGACGGCCAAGGATTTCTTGCACCCAGTTGGCCAATCGACTGGTGGTATTCTTCAGGTGTTCGATGGGTTTCGGTTGGAGTTTTTCAGTCATCCAGCTTTAGAAGCTTGGTCAGGGCCCCAAGAATTAACCTTCTTTAGTTGTGTCGTGGTACCCTTTTTTCCCTTTGTGTTCTGTGGGTTCCACACTAAACATGGGCAATCCCCAACATGAAATGGCTCCCTGAGCCTTTTGGTTCTGATAGTTTTTGGGGCTGGGGGAGGGTGAATTTAGGGAACGGCCCCTCCCCCCCTTGGGTGTGACGTGCCATCCTCCCCCCGCCCCGGTTCGTTTGGTTGGTTGGTTTGGTTTGGTTGAATTGTTTTTTTCGTTTGCTTCTTTGTCCCTGCTGGTGGCGCCTATGTGTGGTGTTCAGCCGCCCCATAGCGTGGTCACGGCCAGGCGCTGCTCTCCTCCGCTTGACCTCTAGCCTTATGCGCGGCTTTTCGCCGCCTCACAGTGCCGTAATGGGCAGGCACTGCTTTCCTGTGGCCTCATAACTCATGCCCCTTTCTGAGGTGTTCCGACACCACCTAGTGTGGCCTTGGCCTGGTGCTGCTCTCATCCGCTCTCCTGCTTGTGCCTTTGCTTGGCATTTCGCCCTGCCATTTGTGCCCTTTCGGCGGGTGTTGCCCCATGCCGCTTGGCCAGGCCACATGTGCAGCTATTTCGCCCCGCCCGGACTGCTCTTGGCGATGGCCACAAGTCGCCAAGTCCCCCAGTTGTCCAGTGACGCATCTTTGGCGCAGCGCTTGGCGTCGCTTGTTCAAGCCTGCTCGCCTGCTGCTGCTGCTGCTGCTGCTGCTGCCGCTGCTGCTGCTGCTGCGGTTGACCTTTTAAGAACCCGAGGCCTTGGCAAAGGGGACAGATTGGCCAACCAACCGACCAAACAACCACAGCAGCGCTTCCCGTTTTCCAAGGGCAGTTGCAAGGTGCTCAATCCTGTGGCTTCAGGCGAAGAACTGGCAATATTCGGGGGTATCAGTTCTTTAGTGTTCCCGAATCCTGGGCTGTCCCGATTGCATATCGCTGTTTGCTCGAACATGGCACCCACAAGGGGCCAGGGTTGTGGGATCAAGGGGTTTATCGTCACTTCTGTGATGCAAGGGAACCTGCCTTTGCTTGCCTTTGTCTGTCTCTGTTTGTCTCCTGCCTCTGCCTGCCTCTGCTGCCTCTGTCTGCCTCTGCCTGCCTTCCTACCTCTGCCTGCCTGCCTCTGCTTTGCTTTGCCTGCCTGCTTTGCCTGCCCCCCTTTCTGTGAACAAATTAGTCTTTGGGAAGCCCTTCCTGTTGTATCACAGTGGTCATTGCCCACAGCCCTGCCAGAGGCGTTTTAGATTCCATGCTCCCTGTGCTTTCGAAGGAACCCCTTCGCGGAGGAGGTCAGCGCAGGGACCAAGCGCGAGCCGCTGCAGATCATCGGCGCGGGCTTGGGGCGCACTGGCACCTCCTCCATGGCAATGGCCCTCACACGCTTAGGCTACCGCGCCTGATCGCAATCTACGGAATCGGTCCGAAGCAAGTTCCCATCAAAGACCTGAAGTGGCGTGAAAAAATTGAAGCTTGGGGCGTGGTTTGGAATGAATACCATAATGTCCATATAAGTTTATGCAGATTAGCACGCCTTCTATGGTTACGAAAGCAGCGTTGGCAAAATCTAATGATTTCACTTGGGGGAAATAGCCTCAGCCAGGATATCTGAGGTTCCCTTCTCAGGGAAGGCATTGTTTCTGGCTAATTTGTTTCTGACTATTTTGTCACGAAACGTGGCATGTGCATACACAACACACAGTTGCGTTGCATATACGTATGCAAACACATATGCGTATACATAGCTATTCACGTACACCTGTACCGATAACTGCATAGGTACGCACATGCATACACACGTACATGCCTACCCTCCATGTGAGGGGGATGACACTCGTGGTAGTATTTGTCCTACAACACTAAGGTTCTTCAGGATTAGCTCGGTGCAACAACCCACCGCTCACAACACCCCTTTTGGAGGGGATAGGTAGATATGTAGGCAGCGCGCTCAGGGGTAAAAAGCTGAGCCACTGCATTAATCTTATATACGTATATAGTTCTAAACCTGGCATTGCTTTCGGCTGTTCGGAAGCGTGTGAGACTAATTAGCTTGTGTGTTGCAAATTGCATTTGCAACTTGCTTGTGGCATGGTCGTAAAGCGGCAGTTCCGTTTACAGCTTTCGTGCGCTATCGCGCACTCTTCCCACCAACATGAAACATGATAATACAGGAGGAACGGGCCAGCTGGTGTCAAAGGCCGTTTGCTACTGGGGCTTCTGTCATTTCAGCCAGAACGTTGCTGCAAACGTCCATCACCAGCTGTTCGGCTGGTCATCCTGCAAAACCGGCGATACTTTGCGCGTTGGTGAATACTTGATTCTGAGGTACCCATGCGCCCATACACAGTGACATGCCAATTCTTTGGGAAGTTGCAAACAGCTGTCCTCCAGAAAGCCTGGGCACGTAGATGGGCGCCAAGCACCAAGGACCTTATCACTGGGTCGAGGGTATGATGCAGATGGGCCACACTGGGCTTTGGGCGAGATGGTACGATGCCATGCATAGTGGTGACGAGGCGGGAGCAGACGCAGCTTTCCAGACGGTGGCAGAGGCGATTGCGCAGAGTGGCTTCAATGCGACCCTCGACTTTCCAGCGTGCATGGCCTTCGAGTCCTTCATGAAGATGTATCCCAATGCCAAGGTGCTCTTGTCGGTGCGCTCTTCGGGACAGGCTTGGGCGGCTTCAGTCCTGCCGCTCTGCTGTTTCCCTTTCTGGCAAGAAGGGTCCCCTGTGTGACTTGCACTTGTTGGCAGGCTCATGGATACCTGTTCCGATCGCAGCCGCCAGGTGCTCGGGGCAGAGCCTAAGGATTCCCCACAACAAATTAGGCGGAGATTAGAGAGATATCGATCCAAGAGATACACAAGAGTGGCGGTAAGGATTACAATGATTACAATCATAAATCCAGAAATTTACTTTTTGCCAAGCCTTGAAAGATAGAACAACTCGCCAGAAGCAGGATAGCCATTTTCATGAGGATATGTCCAAATGGAGCGTGCCAAAAGTAGTCGGACCTTGTCATTGGATCAGCTGGGACGTGAAATGGCAACCCAAAGAGAGCTGCCAAAGCGCGCGAGTGAAAAACGATATGGTCGACAAGAACCAACTTAAACGATACCCGCATTGGAGCGTCCTTTGTGGGATACAAGAGGATTTTGTCGTCGCGCATATCAGCATTTCACACGGTCGGAGTTCCACACTGAATGTTGCGTGTGTGTGTGTGTGTGGGTGCGTGGGGGTGTGTGTGTGTGTGTGTGTGTGTGTGTGTGTGTGTGTTTGTTTGTTTGTTTGTTTGTTTGTTTGTTTGTTTGTTTGTTTGTTTGTTGGTTGGTTGGTTGGTTGGTTGGTTGGTTTGTTTGTTTGTTTGTTTGTTTGTTTGATTGTTTGTTTGTTTGTTTGTTTGCTTGTGTGTTTGTGTGTTTGTTTGTTTGTTTGTTTGTTTGTTTGTTTGTTTGTTTGTTTGTTTGTTTGTGTGTGTGCGTGCGTGCGTGCATGCGTGCGTGTTCGTTCGTCCGACCGTCTGTACGGCCGTACGTGTGCGTGCGTGTGCACACATGCCCGCATTTCCGTTCGCATGCGCAAGCGACTGCGCGTGCGCGGGTGCGTTCCTGTGCATGCGTGCATGTGCATGTGTATGCGTGTGTATGTGTGTGTGTGCATTTGTGTGTGTGTGCATTTGCGTGTGTATTTGTGTATTCTGTGTCACTCTGTGTGTGTATTTGTTTATTTGTGTGTTTCTGTGGTTCACGCGCACGCGCGTGAGTGGGTGGGTGGGAGGGGTGTGGGATGGTGTGGGTGTTAGTTTTGTGCTTGTAACGGTGTTGTGTGTGTGTGTGTGTGTGCGTGTTTGTTTGTTTGTTTGTTTGTTTGTTTGTTTGTTTGTTTGTTTGTCTGCTTGTCTGCTTGTTTGTTTGTTTGTTTGTTTCAGCTTGTCTCTGTGTGTTTGTGTGTCTTTCTCTGTTTTGGTTCTCTCTGCCTGTGTTTGTGTCTGACTCTGTCTCTGGGGCCACATGTCCTCTCTGCCCTTAAGCCGCTGGCTCTCCTTGCCGCCCAGGAACGGGGTGATCGACTTGTCCTGGGCTGCGCAGTTCGGATTCTTCGGTCTCACCCAGCGGCTCCGAGACCTGAGGACGTGCAGTGAGAGTGGCTCACCCCGATGGCTCACGAAGGTTTCTTCGGGGATTTTCCGGAAATCCCCCAAGGAAACATGGCTTGGTCTATCTACATGTTCGGGGTTGAAAGTGACCCCGTAGAATCACAGCTGAATTGCCTTCAACTCTTCACTCCCAAGAAAGGAAGTCGCACAGAGATGAACAATTATAATTGTGACAACTGCCCACATCCCACATTTTGGAAAGAGCATGCCCTCTTCAGCTTCAATCTTGAATCTTGCCATGTCTTCCGGGAACGATTTGCAGGGACGTGTGGGGATGTGTGCGGATACCTCGAAGTTGTAATGTTGTTTACTTCTCCCAAAACTGCTGGGTTTGCAATTTCCTTGCTGCCTCCCTTGTACAAGACCTGAGGCTCCAGTTCTTTGGTGCCTGTTTTTGAGCGAGGACAGTGATCCTGGGGGGTTGGCCCCTGCTGGGCATCCCCCCCATGGGCCCTGGCGATCTGCCAGACGGCCCCATCCTGGAGAAGGTCCATGACGACTGGGCGCGGCGGGTGAAGCGTGCCGTGCCAAAGGAGAAGCTGCTGGTCTTCGAGGCACAGCACGTGGACAATGCTCTGCGCGTGTGTGTGTGTGTGCGCGTGTGTGGTATGCGTAGTCCTTATGGCGTTTCATTTCAACGCGACTGGAAAACAATCTTTGAATCTGCCTGTCAGCTGCTTGCCGTCGCTTCAACCAATTGTTGTTTCACTCAACAGCAACCCTGAAGGCAAAGGACGGCTACGGGCCGCTATGTCGATTCCTGGACATTTCCGATGCTGACTGCCCCAAAGAGCCCTATCCCCACATGAACGCGAACGTTGACAGTTGGTGGGCGCGACGGTTTGGCTGGTTTGCGGTGCGCCTTGGCCAGGGAGGACAAGAGGCTGGACAATACGGTGCGTTTGGACGCCAATCCCACTACTACCATTGTGTCACCAGTATCATTGTTAGGGAAGCTCGCAGATGACAAACATTTGTTCGGCTTGATTCTGGGTTCTACCTTTCAGGAAGGCGGGTGCCACTCCCATACCCAACTGGGCTCGGAGAGACATCTTAGGTTCGGGGCACGCGCATGGTGGACACGGGCAAGTTACGGCCGGGGGGAGCCCAGGTGCGGAACATCGGCAAACATGGCCCTCCAAAAGAGGCCTCCCAAACAGCACAAATCCTTCCATGTTTCTGTGTCTTCAGACCCTTCGTGAGGGAGTCGAACCGAGGACCTGCTGGATCCCCAACACCATGATTTTGCTTTGCGCCCCTTTCTATTGCTGCTGGCGCTGCCGTCGGAAGCAGAAGGCCGCCTAAAGTTGCCGCTCAGCCGTGCTGCAAAGCGGCAACTCGCTGAG